ATATCAAAGCTCTATATTATTAGCTCATTCAAGCAAGACATACCAGGTACTAAAGAAGATGATAAGTCAAAATAGACTTTCAAAGGATGTTACAATCCTCAAGTCAAAAAGTTATTTAAAAATACCGGATTTGATAAGGTGATCTTGATGTTGTCCTTTATGGTGGGTGTTTATGCAAAACCCGCACGTATACGGAATCGTTGACAAGTAATAGAATTGATTAATTAAGAGTTATCGTCCCACAGAGAATAAATTCAATTCAACTTTACTAGTTATGTATAGAATTCGAATTGTGTAAAGGAAATAAAGATTTTGATTTAATTTTATACTAAATTATCTAAGAAAACGGTAAAAAGTGTTTTGTATCAAATTATGGATGATTTTATTGGATTTCGAATCCGCCTATTGCTATCTATTTCAATTCTTGATTTGTAATCTAATTTCGTTCATGCGTTCTTGACAATCGATAATTCTATTATAATTAACTCTCTTTTTCAAGACAAATTAAATCTATTCTAATCACGACCCGAATCTATTCCCAATCTGAATTCGAATGATTGCACACATGATAAATGTTTATTGCACATATGTTAATTTTACGGCGTTCTAAACTTATTGTGAGTCTCCCAACACTACAATAAACAACTAATTATCTAATTGGTGGCCAATCAATTAACTAATGCAATGGGTATGCAAAATTAATTAAGGAATGTAAGAAATAATCTAAACAAATAGTCTTGAATTAAAACAAATAAACAAATATGGTTCATCTTCATCCAATACAAAAAGGGATCTAGCCTAACATGTTAATATATAAATTACAAAAAGAATAATAAAAAAGATCACCCAGATCATGAAATAAATCAAAAAATATTATCTTCAAACCCAATGTTGAATTTTTCAAAATCTTGATGTAATTGACCTTCAATTCCTTGCTATGACTTGATCTCCTCTCTTAAAATATAGCAATTGACATCTTGTTCCTAATAAATTTGATGAAACTATGGTGTATGAATAGGCAAGAGAGGTTCTTCTATGTGTATCTCATGTTCTCTATTTATAAGAGCTAGAAAATAGGTCAAAATTGCGTCCAATTTGATTTCCAAAAGAGTTTGAATCACGAAAGGAAACTAAAGATTCATCTACGAAATATGCCCATGCTTGTGGACCGGTAAAAGTGTTGCGCATGCACCATAGAACCAAATGGTTCTCGGGTTGGGGAAATAGGGTCCCACGAGCGTGCCAAGAATTGCCCACGCGCGCACAGGTTTGTCTCTGAATAATGTTTAATATTTTAGCCATAACTTTCTCTACAAGTATCCAATTGAGCTGATTTAAAATATGTTGAAAATTTAATTTAAGGGGATAAAATTCTTCTAGAAACATAAGGTTTCCAATTCGAATGTTTGATATCCGAAAAATGGGTCTCAAGTGAAGGATAAAAATTCATAGCATAACTTCTTCTGCTAGAAATTGATTTGTGAAAATGCTTCCACTATATTCACTCATTTGACCTCCAATTGCATCCAATTGATCCTATATGATCTTTAATTATATTTTTGTGGTCTGAATCATCTATTAGATGTTTACACTTTAGTCCCAAAACTTTGAATTTCCTTCGTTTTCGCACGTTTTTCATTCATTTCTTTCAAACCCATCAATTTTCATTGAGTTTAACCTAAAAAACATAATTAACATAAAATTAAGCTATAACTCATCCAAATCACTAACAAATACTCCAATTTAATAGTCTAGACAAGTGTACAAAATACACTTATTAGTGGGCGTATCCCTTCTGATTCTAATGGAGCCCTTATGTCGCGACCTAGATATGGTTTGGGATATGATCCAAATCCATTCAAGAAAGATTAAAGTCAAGAAGGTTTCCTCAAGCCCAATCATGATTCAAATATATGAAGTTACAGAAGAAAAATCAAAACAACAGAGACTTTCAGTGTTCAATTGAATTGAAAATGAGAATACCAAAGTTTCGGTGTTTAAAAGGTTAAAAGGAGAACCTACCATAGTAGTTGACATAAAAGGTAAAGCTTATGTCTTCCTAAGATTAAGTGAGGTGCCTTCTTCATCTACTCAAATTGATAAGAATACACGAGCTCTTCAGAAGTTATCTCAAAGACAATCAGCATTCTCTCGACTTGAAATTAAACCTTATAATCTAAATCCAAAACCTCAACGATCAAAAAGAGACAAAAAAATAAAAAAAGTTTACCCATCCCTAAAGAATGATGAAGATAATGAAAAAGCCCCTGTCAATCACATCCATTTTGAATAAGCTTTCAACTCAGAACCCGAGTCGAAAAACTCTGCTACAACCGATGAACCTAGACCAACTTCTCCTATATTTGAAGAAGGTGGACAAGCTATTGTAGATGACTTGAAACAATTGAACTTGGGGACCGACGAACACCTGATACCAGTGTTCGTAAGTACTCTCCTTAATAAAAAAGAGGAATTCGAGTACATCCATTTGCTTCAGGAATACAACGGTGTATTTGCATGGTCTTATAAAGAAATGCTGAGGTTAGATCCTAAGGTTGCAGTATATTACATTGCAGTAAGACACGGAGTTCATCCAATTAAGCAAGTTCAAAGAAGATTCCGACCAGAACTAATTCCTCAAATTGAAATGAAAGTTAACAAACTTATTGAAGAAGGATTCATATGTGAAGTCAAGTACCTAACTTGGATCACGAACATTGTTCCATTAAGAAAAAAAATGGACAACTACACGCCTGTGTTGACTTTCGAGATTTGAACCAAACATGTCCAAAAGATGATTTTCTCTTCCAATAACAGAGTTAATGGTGGATGCAACTACTGTGTATGAAGTCTTATCTTTCATAGATGGGTCTTTTGGATACAACCAAATATAGATAAATCCAAAAGATGAGGAGCTTACATCATTTTGTATTCTTAAGGACATATATTGTTTCAAAATTATACTTTTTAGATTAAAAAATGCAAAAGGGCAACCTACCAGCGAGCAATGTAAAAGAAACGTGACGAGCATCTACAAGACTTACTGGATATTTTCAAAAGATTTCGACGACATCAACTGAAGATGAATCTACTAAAGTGTGCATTTGGTGTCACATCTGGGAAATTTCTTGGCTTCATTATTCAAAATCGGAGCATTGAAATAGAATAATAAAAATTTGACGCCTAAAAAATGTGCATGAGTTGAAGAGATTTCAAGGAAATCTTGCGTATATTCGAAAATTTATCTCCAACCTTGACGGACATTGTCATTCGTTCAATAAATTGATAAAGAAAATTGTGTCATTCGAGTGGGATGATGCATGTCGAAATACTTTTCAAAGTATTAAGCAATATTTGTCTAATTTTTATTAGTACTTGCAGCTCCAACTCTAGGAAAGCTACTGACTCTCTGTGTCAGCACAAGGAACCTTCTTTAGGAACACTTCTTTTCCAAGTCAATGATGAAGGAAAATAAAATGTGCTCTATCACTTGAGCCGGATGCTGGTAGGTGCTGAAATGAAGTATTCACCTATTGAAAAAATATGTCTTGCATTGATCTTCACGGCTAAAAATTTAAAACATTACATGCTATGACACACAATCAATCTTATTTCAAAGGTTGATCCATTGAAATACATAATATCCAGCCTGATTCTTTTCGGAAAGATTGGAAAATAGCACTTCTGTTGTCTGAATTCAATATCAAATTCATTCCAGAGAAAGCCATTAAAGGACAAGCTCTGCTGAATTTCCTCGCTGACCATCTAGTTTCGGCATAATGGGAATTTTAGAAAGACCTTAAGAAGTTATGTTTACTGAAGTTTTACCATCATAGAGGCTATACTTCAATAGGGCAGCTCAAATTTATTGTGTAGCGGTAGGAATAGTCCTTGTTACTCGTCGTGATCTTGTTATGCCTTACTCATTTGCCATAACAGAGAAATGCTCAAACTATATGGCTGAATATCAAGCCCTTATCCTTGGCTTGGATACATCATTAGATATGGATATCCATCAATTGAAAGTCTTTGGATATTCTAAATTGATAATCAATTAGCTTTTAGTCGAGTATGAAGTCTGTAATTTAAACTTGAAGCCATATCATGAACGTGTATCAACACTTATGAAACGATTTGATTTGGTATAAATCAAATTCGTGCCAAGAAGTGAAAACAGGGAAGCTGGTGCCTTAACTAATTTTGTTGTTTTAGCTAGGTCAGATGATGACTTTTTCTATCCCATATCACTTACTCAAAGATGGGTGCTTCCATCATTGTTGCCCAGTAATCTAGAAGAGAACAATAGTATCGAATCAATCGATGATGATGAAAGAAAAGATTGGAGACAATTAATAATCAATTTCCTTCAATATCAAAAGTTACCAAATAATTCGTGACGAAAAACTGAAATCAAGAGGCATGCATCTCGCTTTGTCTTTTATAATGGAACACTTTATCGACGATCATTTGATAGAGTTTTTCTTCGATGCTTAAGTAATGATGAAGCAACATGTGTCATGAAAGAAGCACACTGTGAAATTTGTGGTGCTTATCAGTTCAGACCCAAGCTTCATTTTCTAATAAAGAGAATGGGTTACTATTGGCCAACTATGGTACAAGAGTCTATGGATTACGCGAAGACATATGAATCTTGCTGAGTCCATATAAATTTCATCCACCAGCCTCCGGAACCATTACATCCGACAGTATCTTCTTGGCCATGTGATACATGGGATCTTGATGTAATAGGATCTTTAACTCCAAAGTCATCAATTGGGCATTCATACATCCTCACCGGGACCAACTATTTCTCTAAGTGGGCTAAAGTCGTACCATTGAAGGAAGTAAAGAAAGAAAATATTGCGCATTTCATTCATATCTAGATCATTTATCGATATGTGGTCCCACGACACATCAGCATTTATAATGGAAAACCCTTCTGTAATAGCCACATAAACAATTTATATGAAAAGTTTAGATTCAAACAATACAATTTGTCCATGTACAATATAGCAACTAATAGGTTTGCAGAGGCATTCGATAAAACTTTGCACAAATCAAAAAGAGATTGGCACGAAAGAATCGGTGAAGTCTTGTGGGCTTATCTAACTCCAACACAAGCCACCACTTATGCCTTAGTTTATGGAGTGAAAGTTGTACTTCCTTCGGAGTGTCAAATTCCGTCACTTCGAATTGTCATCCAAGAAGGTTTGACAACAGAAGAAAATGCCCACTTTCGATTGGAGAAACTAAAAAAGAAGAGATTAGATGCAAAAATGCACCTGAAATGCTATCAAGCTCGGATGGTGAACTCCTTCAACAAAAAGGTAGGACCAATATCATTTCAAGTTAGAGATCTGGTATTTTTCGTATGCAAGCCAATCATAATCACAAGAAAAATAGGGGCAAGTTCCAACCTAAATGTGATGGTCCATTTCTTGTTACTCATCCATTCACTAATGGAGTATACAAGATCGTCGACAAAGAAGACTGCCAATCGGACCTATCAAGGAAATTCCTAAAGCTCTTTTACACTTGAAGTTCTTTATTTTGTAAATTTTTCATTGTAATAAAATGTAATACTCCTGGTACTCAAGAGGATAAACTGTGAACAACCTCAAATAAACAAAAAAAAATTGTTCTTGTAATGAATTATGTTCGATTTGATCCCTTTTGAGTACATTCGGATGATATGATAGGTCAATCATTTGCTTTATTGGTTTCAATCGTGGCGCTGCAGAATCTGCTATTAGGTTAGCTCGGGTTGTTAGGTAAAAAACAATTCATTATACTGCTTATTAACCTTTTGATTGTCGTCTCTTTTGTTGTTTTCCTTAGGCGCCAGCCAGAATTGGAGTTGGATCTTTCTTGTATAATCCTGCATAATCTCGAATGTTATCAGTTTCGGTATGTTGACTCCTGGGACTGGTTGCTTTGAGAAATCCTTTCTTTCTCATCCACTCAGGGGGTGCGGATGGTGGCATACTCCCTTTTGGCCTATCCAAGCTTTTTTTACAAAAAGATGAGGGGGAAACTCAGTAAGATGTGAATATGACTCAGTCAAAGGCATGGATGAAGGGAGAGCATACGGAACAGTCTTCGAAGGGGAATGAGAAGAACCCCAGGCAAGATGGTGATGAATTGCGATTGGTCTAAACCTTTGAATATCGACTTATTGCGACCTGCCCAGAACCGAGGGATTCCAGAGAAGTGCTTGAAGATAAAGTGGGCCAAGTTCTGGAAACCTACTTTATCGCTTTCAGATTGAAAATCCTTTCAGAAAAAGATCGAAGTAGAGTTGCACCCTAAATTCTATGATTTATGAAATCCTAATTACATTACCGCAGGTCAAAATTGGATTTGGAAGAGACCTATTCCAAGAAGACTCCAACTTCATGCATGAGGCTAATTCGTTTTAACATTAAACTAGAGCAATTATTGTTATTTTAAATGAATTGAGGCTTAATTTTGTATTTATTTTGTTTGATAGGTGCATCTCGATGAAAAATGATGCAAGTGGACAAAAGGAGCGAAAAATTGGCTAAAGTGGACTTAATCCAAAGTTTGGGGACTAAATTGTAAAGTGCTACTAGTTGATTCGGACCTAGTATCAATGATTGGAGAGGCTTGGAATCAATTAGATGGAGTTGGAAGATGGGGGATCAAGAAAATACAAAGAAGGAACCAAAATTACTAAAGAATGAAATTTAGGGACCAAAGTGCAACAAATAGAAAATTGTATAGCGGTGATCGCACACAGGACAATTCTCTCGAACGCGGGGGGGCATGAATTTTATTTATCGAGCCCAAAACCAATGAACAGGGCACACGGGCTATTTTTGGGCCCGAATGATCCAACTTTCTTGTTTTATCCAAATTCTTATGAAAATCAAATTTAAACTATTTTTAACCTGGAGAGGATAGCGTGAACTAGATATAACATATCAAATTCTATTTTTTACCATAAGAAGGAGGCTAGCACAAGATTCAAAAAGCAATTAACACAAGAGATTGAAGATTCAAAGTCCGGGTTGAAGATTAAAGAAGAAGAAATTGATTTATCACTTTCCAATCATCGTTTTTCATTCCGGGTGATTTTTTCCAAATTTTTTTGGTGTAATTTACATAACATCATGCTAGGCTAAATCTTGCCAAGTATTGGATGAACATGAAATCTGTTAGATTTATTTTTAATTCAAGACAAGTAGTTAGTGAATTTATTGTTTTTCTTGATTAATCTTACATGTATAATTTTATTATTTGATTGCTTGATCACCAATTAAATATATAGTTGCTTGTTGTAGTGCTGAGAGACTCATAATAGATCTAGAACATTACTTGATTAAGATGCTTGCAATAGATATTAGGAATAATGTTTATCACGTGTGCAATATTTGAGATAATTTAAATTTTAATGCATTCTAATAATTTGAATTCGGATTAGAAATAGATTCGGATCGTGATTAAAATAGATTTAATTTTTCTTGAAAAAGAGAATTAATTACAATAAAATTGTCTGTTGTCAAGAATGCATGAATGCTAATTGCTACGTAATTGAGAATTGAAATAAATAATAATAGGTGGATTCGTAATCCAATACGCATTCCATATAAATACAAAACTCAAATTTTACAAGCTTTCGTAGAATAATTTAGAATAATTATCAAACAAAATTCTATTTTGTTTGCTCACTTTGAATTTGAATAAAAACTAATACACTTGATTGAAATTTATTCCCTGTGGGACGATAACTCTTAACTCATCACGTACGATCCCGTATGCTTGCAGGTTTTGCATGAACAATAGATATTTTGAATAAATTAAAAATCCAAGTTCAGTTACAACCAATAAATTCATTCAATTTTTATCATTTTCTACAATAAAAAATACACAAGAAACACGACGAAGAAAAGTTCAAAAAAATGATAGTAAATCAAAATTCACATAATATGGTCCTAAAGAAAATCAGAAAGTCTCAACCCTATCAAAATCACTAGCCATTGATTACTTGTAGGAAACAATCTTCAAGAGTATTCATTTTATGGTCAATGAATGTTATACTAGTGACATCTCTAGTCTGTGATTCTTTTAATGCGGCTTTAGTTTTCCAAAACATACTCTTTTGTTCTTGATAGGTTTGGAGCTCATCACGGATTCTGTCCAACTCAAAAGTTAGTTGACTAATTTTATCTTCCAACGAAAAATACGAGGGAATATTCAAAAGTTTCAATTGTTTAGCCTTTTCTTCAGCGGTTGGACACTGCAAGTACTGCTTTCTTTCAGATAAATAGAAGTCAACTTCTTTCAGAAACACATCCATACGTTTCATCAAAAGTGTTGGATCTAAAAGAAATGAGAAGGTAATCACATTTTGAAGAACTAAATTATTCTCATCCTACCAAGATCAAATGTTGAAAAATCCATGCTTTAAAACATCCCTAAAATACTTTTGGAAATAATTAGTCATGGCTACTTACAGAGCAGTCTTCAAGTAATGAGACTCTTGAGTTATCTCAGGAGGGGGATCAGACTTGTGACTGCCTAAGGATAACTAATCAAAAGGGAGATGAATTGGTTTTTAAGGACTTTTTTGAAGAATTAATTTAAATTCAAGCAAGTAAAGATTAAATAGATCAATTCAAATAATAAGTACAAATATAAAAGCAATAAGTAAAATGGAGAGATGATGCTAACGATGTAATTGTGGAGGTTTGATCCAAAACAATAATTTACGTCCTCCGTTACCAAGTTCTCCGGCATGAGCAATGCTTTTTCATTATATTAATTGAATTATGGTGCAATCTAACCTTTTACAATGCTTCCGATAACTTACAAACAATGAGAATCAATATTTATACAATGTTGAGTTTTATGGGATTTCAACACGACCTACTATTGAGCTTTAACGAGACCTCAATATGACTCACACTATTAAACTTTACAGGACCTCAATATGACCCATACAATGACTTACAACAAGAATTACTGATCCTTATAAAATGTTGATCAACCCGACCACACTTTATCAAAGTGATTTTACAATGGAATTCCTCTCTTGATAAATAATACAAACAAGTCAAGTACTAAGATAGACAACACTTGGATGAATAGAAATAAATGATAACTCAAGTGTTAGATGAAATTTTTTTATGTATATAATAATTGGAAATTTGATTGAATCAATCAAAGTTTTTCAATGAGAAGATGAAAAAGAAATAAATGCAATATAAGTTCAAAAATTTTCTCAAAATATATATCTTTCAATGAATGATTATAATAAATTAAGTACCAAGAAAGAGATGAGAAAATTTGATGAATATGATTTTACAAGTTTGATTCAATTAATCAAAGTTTTCAATATGAAGTAGTAGAAGAAATATATGCAATGTAAGTTCAAAAATTTTCTTCAAAATATATATCTATAAGTAATAGAAATTAGTTAAGTACAAAAAAAGTGATGAAAACATTTGACGAAGATAATGATTCAAGAGTTTGAATTAATCAAAGTTTTTTATACGAAGAAAGAAATGAAATGTATGCAAATGTAAGTTTAAATAAGTCTCTTAAAAATTATCCCACTTTAATGCTCTTGAAAAATGTTATATTGAATGCATGTAGAAGTTATTTATAGAGTTTAAAACTTCAAAAAAATATGGGAGTTCGGATGATTCGTCCAATCGATCGCCTCTTGTCCGGATGACCAATATAGCCATTTATACAGTAAAAATCAGATGTCGGAACGGTCAAATTTTGGACCGTTGGAAACTTCCGATTGATCGCCTCTTTTGGCCGATTGACCGCCCAGCAGTTCGGTCCCTTTTTTTACGTTTAGCCCCGTTTGTTTTGATTTGAAACTTTTGAATTGTATGGACTTTTGAAAAGTATTTTTAACTAACTTTTCAAGATAACAGATGTTTTTCAAGTCCAAATATTATTTTTAAAAGTCATTTTTATATTTGATCAAATCATTGCATTAGAATGATTTTTAATGTACAAAATTGTTTTTAATGCATAGAATGATCTTGAGGTTTTGCCTTCATTGCCAAATATCAAAGTGTTAGTACCTTTACATTTTATCTAAGAAATCAGTATTTGATCTTGCTCTGAAGTTTGATTCTTAAGTTCTTGAATGTGTGACTTCGATCTTGAATTCCTTTATGAGTCCGATTTATGATGATGGTTTTTGATCTTTTAACGACCACCGGTTAATTTTCCATCACATGCTTTCAAAATCTATAATCATTTGAATTCAGCTTGTTAGTAAATAAGATTAATTTGTTTATTATAATAAAAAAATTAAGATTATAATCAACCATAGGTCAACAACATGAAAGAACAAATTGAAGCAGCCCCATGATTGTTTGAATGAGGGATGTTAACTAAAGCCAATAAAGATGGGACAGCTGGGATAAATGTTAGCTATCACAGTCTCATAATTTACTTCATTTTCATTATGGAAACCATCTGTGTTACGTGTCGAAGTACCTTCATTAATGGTGCTTAGGTCTTGCAAGGATGGCCGTGAAAATCACGAGTACCATCTATTCCCCGAAGCGCATCGATTTTCCCATCATTCTCGCCAGCCTGATCTTACAAAAAGTCTAGATTCATGGAGAAATTCAGTCATTCAGGGACGCTTGGATAAAAAAAATGGAAGATTTAAAAAAAAAAAAGATAGACAAAAGAAAACAAAGAATAAACCCGCATTGTTTTACGCGACATGTCCAAAAATCTGCCATCTGATAGTGTATTCAGGAAACTGATGTTAATGTTAGAAGTTTCGAGGTCACCTTTTTAAGGACTTGGAATAACTTGAAGCAGCCTTGATTTTATCGATCACCTCATTATATATATTCGGGAAAGAGAAGCCTAAAATTGAAGTTTGTTACATGAGATTGAATACAAATAGTATATTAAGAAAGATAAAAAAATCATGTCTGATCTCTAGAACTTTCATCTTCCAAAGTTAGAGTTTTTCCACTAAGGTGGGATGCTTAATCTCCAAGACTACTGTGGTCTGGAATCAAAACTACTTCAAGTATCTTATCGGTAAGCTTAGAGGTGGAAGCAAACTTTGTTGAGTGAACTTTAATTTTAATTTTCTTAATGCGTCTTTCATTTTGAAGGTTTAGTTCTCTATTTTGAGAAGTCTCTTC